GACAAAGCGACCAAATTAATGGATCAGGGCAATAGTGTGGATATACAGTAGAATACTTAGACTTCAATAAGGCATTTGACAAAATTGACCACAGCCTACTTTTTGGTAAGATAGAAAAATGTGGGATAGACAGCAGCTGCATTACCCAATGCATTCATAACTGGCTGACCAACCAGACTCAATTTTCCCAGATGTTCACACACATGGGTGCCTTTCTAAATTTATTTTCTTTTTCTTTAATCCTAGGGTATCATTGTTGCTCCGATGCTACAATTATCAAAGCAACAGAGAGCAGGCTGTTTTTTTTTGTTCTTAGAATCCTCTTAGAAACTTTAGAGAATGAAGCTGCAAGAAATCTTCATAACCAAGTAGCAACATCCCTACCTTAACAACTTATCTTTTTCTTTGTTTAAATCAAAAGTGAGGGTGAGAAGAAAAGAAAAGTATTCTTCATATGGCCTGGGTAGAAACCAAAAGGTTGCCTGCTATATGGGTGGAACAGAGGTGTGGTGGCAGAAGAAATGAAGAAAACATGGTGGTCAAGAGATGCACTGGATCTCGTAGGGAAGGATTGGCAATTAAAATCTTTAGTTGAGTTAAAGCAAGAAAATATTGTACAGTCTTGGTTTCAGTATAACCAATTGTTGGTTAGGTGGAGCTTAGATCAAAAGGTTGGTATTACTTTAGGGGATGAGAATTTGGTAAAACAGATTAAAGATTCAAATCGAGCCCACATAAAGAGAATTTATAATGTTTTAATAGAATTGGATTCTGAAATGGATTTAGTTAAAGATTGTATGATAAAATGGGCTCAAAATATTCAAGAACCGATTTCATTGGATACATGGGAGGTAATTTGGGTTAGAAATGTAAAATTTAGCCAGGCTCAAAATTTAAGAGAATTTTTTTTATAAAATGTTTTATAGGTGGCATTTGGATCCCAAAAAGCTGTCTTATATGTATCCCAATTTACAGCCCAAATGCTGGAGATATGGTAGCTTGGATGCAACCTATTTTCATATTTGGTGGACTTGTAGAAATATAAAAGCTTTTTGGATTAAGATTTGGTGGAACATTCAAAAGATTTTTAAAAGAAAGATAAAGTTCACGCCACAATTATTTTTGTTGGGTGTTATTGTAGATTGTGATGCTAAAGAAACTAATTTGATGTTGAATTTTATAACAGCTGCAAGGTTATTAGTAGGGCAATATTGGAAGAAAGATTCTTTGCCTACTATAGAAGATTGGACAGCTAAGGTGTCAAATTTAGCAGAAATGGCAAAAATTTCTGCTTACTTGAAGGCTCACTCACAAGAAAGATATTTCGGATTGGAGAAGATGGATAGGTTATATTCAGAATAAATATGGGATTAAAAAGTTTCATTTAACCTATGAGTAAACTTTAGAGCAGTGGTTCTCAACGTTTGTGCGACGGCGACCCCTGTCACACAAATGTTCCGCGCATGCGCGGTGCGGCGCGCATGCGCGGCACCACCCCCTGAGGGGGGAAAATGGCGGATCGCCTTCTTTGGCGACCCCCGAAAAATGGTCGATCGACCCCAAATGGGGTCGCGACCCATAGGTTGAGAACCACTGCTTTAGAGTATTATTAATAGTTTTTAATTAGTTTTAGTATGGTGTAACAATATTGATTTGTTTATATTATTATGTTTATTTTTAATTTGTTTATATTTATGTTATAAGGGAGTTAAAGTGCGCTATGGACTTGGTTACTTGTATAGTTGGGTAATTTTTTTTTAGAGTTTGATTGTTTATTTGTAACCCTGTATTCAGCTCTGGGAAGTGGGGTGGGTAGGGGTGGGTGGGTCTTGGGATGTATATTGTATAAAACTTTTCAATAAAGAAAATATTCTAAAAAAAAAGAGAGGGAGATGCACTGGAAAGAAAATATTCTAAAAAAAAAGAGAGGGAGATGCACTGGTCCATGGAGACAATGGTCTCCGTGGACCATTGTTAGGTCAAGCGAAAGGAAGTGGTGATCAGCTGGGGACATAGCCCAGCAGTCCAGGAAGAAGTGAAGATACAAGGTAATGACGGGCCCTTGGAGGGGAACCTGACCGTTAATATTCACCGCCTATTAGTTTCATCTTCTATGTTCTTTGGTGCCCTATCATTTATTTCAATTTGTGTTTCTTCAACGTTGTGCAAGTCTACCTGTTCATTTCCGATGCCGAAGAAATATTTCCACGTAACTAACTATCGACACATCAGCAATCAAAATATTACATTTCAAGCCTTTTTCAGTACTCAAACTCTGCTGCCTAATTTCCCCAAGTGCAGCGTTTGGGAATTGGATAGCTGAGATTTATGCAGGCAGACGGCTTCCTGATGGCTGCATTTCTACAGAGGTTCAAGAACATAAATTAATGAAAGTCAATTGCAATTTATGTTTCTCAAATTAGTTCCAGATCCAATTGTAAAAGGAGCATGGCATGAAAGAAAAACAGACATTCTAGCCAAATTCAGCTCTTGCTGGATGAAAGGCTGTCACCAGGCAATGTTCAGGATAGGAGCGTCTAGACTGTAGTTTAAGATTGTTCATTATTTTTCTTGCGGATAATTTTGACCGTTACCGTAAAAGCATCATTTACTGCAGAGGCAGGAGAACAGGATCCTTCAGACATGCCCAATTTACAATTTGAATCATCTCTCTCTTACAACCTATGATAAAACATACTTTCCCCCCTTTTCAAGCATATGACAGCTACACATTGTAGTAGTGTTAAGAATTCATTAGGGTTTGGCTGTCTGTGTGTGCTTGGAACTCCCCCCCCCCCCGCAAATTCAGGAACTTCCCGTGATTTCATTTTAAAAAGGGGGGCATTTCTGAAATAGGAGCATGGGAAGCTACCTTATTGCACATTGGACCTCGATCCACCTTGCTTAATGCTAATGGTTGCAACTCCTCACAATTTCAGTCTAGAGTTTTTCCCTCCCCAAATAGGGCAGTCCCAGGATTAAACTTGGAGGCTTCATGCAAAGCAGTCTTTCTATAACCCTTCACTGCAGATTTTCACTTTGTGATGAAAACAGACGAGTCTGTGTTGGGAATGAGTTTCACAAGGAGGTTGGGGAAAATGTTTAGGACTCTGTGTCATTTATTACAGCTGTGAAAGAAGGGCCTTGCAATATGGGAGAGCATGTAAGGGGCATATTTCTCTTAACCATGAAAGCAGCCATGTTTTCCATAAGCTTGAAATTTGTTCTGGCTATCTCTGCATGAGAGAACCATTCACAGCTATTTTGCTTCAAGGGGAGAAAGGCTCTATTGCAGTGGTTCTCAACCTTTTTAATGCCGCGACCCCCAACCGGTCGTAAGTCGAGGACTACTCAACCGGTCGTAAGTCAAAGACTACCCAACCGATTGTAAGTCGAGGACTTTCCCTGCCCGGGAGCGCCGCACATGCATGGTGCCGCCCCCTGCGCTGGCCGAGGCGTAACTGGCAAGGGGCAGTGATGGCGCAGGGTGACCACCGGCCGGGCCACCAGCTGGCCCAGCCCAAGGGAGGTAAGGCACCCGCCAAGCCCCACGCATGCCAGCAACCCTCCCTGCGCCCGCCGGCCTCCCACCTCCCACCCCTGGCCCTCTTTTACTTACATTTTTAGTAGTTGCTCAGCAGGGAGGGGTGGAAACTTCCAGGCAGCTCGTCTTCGCTGCAGACAACTTGCAGCACTGTTTGCAGAATGGGACTTTTGGTAGGCTCAGCAGGGCAGAGACAGCATGGACAATTCCTATTGGCTTTTGAAAGCCAATAGAATTAGACTCTATTCAAGAGAGTCTATTCTATTGACTTTCAAAAGCCAATAGAATAAAAGGGAGTAGCACAGCTAAGGAAAAGGGGGAAAAAATGGCGAACTGCGTTGTTTGGCGACCCCCGTGAAATGGTCGTTCGACCCCAAATGGGGTCCCTACCCACAGGTTGAGAACCACTGCTCTATTGCAACATATATGTCTGATTGTAAGATATATACTTCACAAGCCACTCTGGCTCTTAATACAGTACATTCCTACTACAATGAATGTCAGTAGCCCATCTCCTTTAAATACATTTCCCTTTCCCTCCAAAAAGGATAGACCAACAAACCAGGAGTTTGAATGGCAGTAGTGAATTGTGCCCATCCCACTTTTCCATGATTACAATAATTATGGGAGATATGTTGGGGGCACCCAGGGAAAGAACATAAACACGGTCCATAACCAACTTCCACCTAGCACTAACCATGAGAAGTGTGGAACAGAGTTTTTATTAAGTTATGGAAAGGATAGGTGAAAGGGAGCAAGTTTTAAGTTTGAGAAGTTGCATTAAGAGAATGCAACTTCATCTGTCAGGAGGACAATTATTAGTTTAGAACAGGGGTCTTCAAACTTGACCCTTTTATGACTTGCGGACTTCCAGAATTCCTCAATCAGGCATTCTGGCTGAGGAATTCTGGGAGTTGAAGTCCGCAAGTCATAAAAGGGTCATGTTTGAAGACCCTTGGTTTAAAATAAAGATTCCTTACTAGTAGTGAATATCTAGGAAGCTTCAAGTAAGTTCTTGACAGCTAATGGTGCAGGAGTGTCCACTGGGTATGGTTAATAAAATCAAAATGGCAGCCACAATGGTGTGATCAAAGCTTCATCTACTTTTTTACAGGTCTCATGCGTACCCTTCAGAGAGCCCTATGAAGGTTGGGAATTTTACAAAATATATAGGATCTTGAATACAAAACAAGCATTTATTGAATGTCCCACATAATAATGACATTTCTGGTTAGATTAAATGAATGTTTATGTATCCTTATAAATGAAATTATAGTATTTTAGCATTAATTGACTTTATTGTTGTTGATTAGACCATTGGCCATATCAAAATACAGAGTAAAACAAACATTACAAAATTTACTTGTATAATATTCATCAACAGTGATTTTTGTTAAACTTGGTATGATATACCTGGCACTAGGGTTTTTTTCCTTCTTTTTTTCTTTATTTTCAGACATTGATGAATGTGAAAATGACTTCTACAATGGAGGCTGTGTACATGAATGCATCAATATTCCTGGGAACTACAGGTGTATGTGTTATGATGGCTTCATGTTGGCTGAAGATGGACACAATTGTCTTGGTGAGTCATTATAGTGCAGAAACCTGATAGTCATATGATACAATTTCTTATCTGTTAGATAGCATTCATTCCTGCAAGGAAGCACAAAACTATCTAATTCTGCTGATAAGGCAATCATCATGATCTTTTTCCAGGCTTTAAACTAAAATATCTGGCTGATGTCGTTCAGATTAAACTGTGGATCTGGAACTATGATCCAACCTATCTGGAGGTAGAATCTGTATCTTACATGGTCTTAAAATGTTCATTATATATCCACTGTGCTCAGATTTAATACTTCTAATTGTTAAAACCTCTAATTACCATTTTGACCAACTGATAATTGCCATTACAGCCAAGAACTTATTACCCTCCCTCTGGAATATCAGAGAAGGTTGTAGAATTTTCCCATCAGTGGCTACAGCTGTTAGAAACTGTCTGGTTTTTCTCATGTGCTATTTAACTGTTAACTGCTAAATTGCTTTAGGATTTTCTTGCCAGTTTAAAAATTTCTTTTTACTGTATTATATGCTAGCTTTTTAGTGGATTTGGTCTTGGACCTTAAGTAAATTTTGACTGACTGAAACACATCTGTGTGCATGTGTGAATTAAATTATGTCTGATAATCAAAGTAATAAAAAGTAATTTTCCTCTGAGATTATAGGAGAAGAGCAGGGAGTGCTAGGGGGGTGGAATTAAATGCATCATCAGTTTAGAGACCATGCATTGCCACAAGAGATCCAAGTCCAGCCCCCTTTGAATTCTGTTAGCCCTTTTCTAGTGCCAATTTAATTAGTTGACTAGATTCTTGTGCATAGGCTTGAATAAATCTTACATGCTTCACTAGCAATAGCGCTTAGACTTATATACCGCTTCACAGTGCTTTACAGCTCTCTTTAAGCAGTTTACATAGTCAGAATATTGCCCCCAACAATCTGGGTCCTCATTTTTCCAACCTTGGAAGGTTGGAAGGCTGAATCAACCTTGAGCCGGTGAGAATCAAACTGCTGAACTGTGGCAGTCAGCAGAAGTAGCCTACAGTACTGCATTCTAACCACTACACCACCACGACTCTTTATGAATGGTCCTGTATTTTTACAAATGGTCCTGATTCTTTGTGCCTGACCTTAATTTAGTCAACACATTCATAACCTTCCACAAGACTAGCAAACAAACAAACAAAAAAGCAAAAAAACACCCACCAGTATAGCATTGGATCTGCAGGTTAGAGCTGACAATAGTGCAATGGATGTGCTCCTCCAGTGCCAAGGCAGCTTGGAAATCAAGGTGTGAAATATGTCAGCTCCAGTGCTCCAGTTGGTTCAGCAGACGCAGAATGTCCCCAGGTCCTGTTCCAAGTCCAGCAGCCATGCCTCTTCTGCAGAGAACTCGCAGCTGTTTTACCCAAAAAGTTTGGAGGAGAGTCAGAAAATAATAATAATAATAATAATAATAGTAAAGTTGGAAGGGACCTTGGAGGTCATCTAGTCCAACCCCCTGCTCGGGCAGGAAACCCTACACCATTTCGGACAAATGGCTGTCCAGTCTCTTCTTAAAAACTTCCAGTGTTGGAGCATTTACTGCTTCTGGAGGCAAGCTGTTCCACTGATTAATTGTTCTCACTGTCAGGAAGTTTCTCCTTAGTTCTAGGTTGCTTCTCTCCTTGATTAGTTTCCACCCGTTGCTTCTTGTCCTGCCTTCAGGTGCTTTGGAAAATAGCTTGATTCCCTCTTCTTTATGGCAGCCCCTGAGATATTGGAATACTGCTATCATGTCCCCCCTTGTCCTTCTCTTCGTTAAACTAGACATACCCAATTCTAGCAACCGTTCCTTATATGTTTTAGCCTCCAGTCCCCTAATCATCTTTGTTGCTCTTCTCTGTACTCTTTCTAGAGTCTCAACATCTTTTTTACATCGTGGTGACCAAAACTGGATGCAGTATTCCAAGTGTGGCCTTACCAAGGCATTGAAGAGTGGTATTAATACTTCACGTGATCTTGATTCTATCCCTCTGTTAATGCAGCCTAGCACTGTGTTGGCCTTTTTGGCAGCTGCAGCACACTGCTGGCTCATATTTAGGTGATTGTCTACTAGGACTCCGAGGTCCCTCTCACAGTTACTACTATTGAGCATGGTGCCACCTATGCTGTACTTGTGCATTTGGTTTTTCTTGCCTAAATGTAGAACCTTGCTTTTTTCACCATTGAATTTCATTTTGTTAGTTAGTGCCCAGTGTTCAAGTCTGTCCAGATCCTTCTGTATCTTAAACCTTCATTGCTCAATGCCACCTAGCAGAATTCCTAACCAACCAATCATGACTCTCCTTTGTACTCAGTCTCCTGACAGCCTCAGTGACATGACGGGAACGTCTCATAATCAGATATCATGACTCTTATGGATAACTATCACAACTTCATGGCAAACTTCAAAGAACACTAAAGGAAGTTACAGGAACATGCCGGATTTAGGAACTTCGGCAAAGCAATAGAAGTGTCTGGCACTACATAGAGCAGGAGTCTTCAGACTTGGCCCCTTTATGACTTGTGGACTTCAACTCCCAGAATTCCTCAGCCAGGCATGCTGGCTGAGGAATTCTGGGAGTTGAAGTCCACAAGTCATAAAAGGGCCAAGTTTGAAAACCCCTGATATAGAGGAATTCAAATTAATTGGAGCAGATTTGGGTTGGAATGAAATAGCCCTTGTGGCTCAGATCAGGGAAGGTCTGAAGAATCTTTAGGTGAAGCAATGTTTTAGGTCAGGGGTGGGGAACTTTTTTTTCCACCAAGGGCCATTTGGATATTTAGGACATCGTTCACAGGCCATACAAAATTATCAACTTAAAAATTAGCCTGCTATAAAATCTTACATGAGGAGAAGATTTTAATGAGAAAGTTCCTTTTTAAGCATTTTTTAATTTTTTTTTTACATATTTAGATTTCTCTATGTGGTAGATCTGTCTCATTCTTTAAAAAGACCGGTAAAATAGAAATGTGCATCCTTTTTCATCTTTTCTGCGCTGTTTCTGCTTGTTGTAAAAATTCATATTGTTTTTTTTTTAAAAAAAAAAAACAAAACAAAACCACACCAGGAATATTATAAGTAAAAACTGCAAATATTTTGGCAGGTTTGGATTATCCAACATTTTACCCAGTCTTTTGTGAAGCATTGCCTCAGTAAAATAATACTCTGCAATATAAATTTTGTGTTAGGGACCGTGTATAGTAATGTTGCAAACGCAACTATAGAATGATAATCTTTATAACAAGAAAAATAGAGAAATGTCATTTTCATTTAAATTTGTGGAGATGAGGTTAATTTATTACTCGCTACAGTTTCTCTTTTTTCTTTTTATTTGGAATGAGTTTTATTTTACCTTCTTTGGTTGAGATTCCTTGGCTATACATTTATATTGGATATGGTCCATGTCTGTCCTTGGGGGATGTCATTTTTTTATTTGACATTTTTATTGAACAATTTCACAAATATGATATGAAATGACATTATGGTGGTTTCAAACCATGACGAGATTCTCATCTGGTTAAATATAATCAATTTTAACACTGTAATTGCTTGAAACAGTACAAGTTCCTTCTGAAGATTATTATTTGATACTCAGTTCAGACAACACAGGATTAATATTTAACTTTGAGAAATGAAGAATCCTTCAAGGCCTTAATTTGAAACCAGTAAGTGAAATAAATTCTCTGTTCCTCAGCAGATAAATTTTCTGTTCCTGGGCAGATAAGGCTCAAAATCCAAAAGCATCTCAACAGACTTGAACACTGGGCCTATCTAACAAAATGAAATTCAGTGTAGATAAAAGTAAGGTTCTATATTTAGGCAAGAAAAAAACAACTATATAGCTACAGACTAGGTCAAACTTGGTGCAGTGCCAGCAACTGTGAGAGGGATCTTGGACTTCAAATGGGCAATCACTTAAATATGAGCCAATAGTGTGTGGCAGCAGCCAAAAAAGCCAATGCAATCCCAGGTTGCATTAATAGCGGGCTACAATCAAGATCATGTGAAATATTAGCACTGCTTTACAAAGCCTTAGTATGGCCACACTTGAAATACTGCATGTAGTTTTGGTCACAATATAAACAGATGTTGAGATTCTGGAAAGAGTACAGAGAAGAGCAACAAAGATGATTAGGATGCGGGAGGCTAAAGCATATGAAGAACAGTTGCAAGAATTGGATTTGTCTAGTCTAGTGAAAAGAAGGACTAGGGAAGATATGATAGCAGTGTTCCAGTATTTGAGGGGCTGGCATAAAGATGAGGGGGAGCAAATTATTTTCCAAAGCACCAGAAGGCAAGACAAGAACCAATGGATGGAAACTAATCAAGGAGAGAAGCATCCTAGAACTAAGGATAAATTTCCTAACAGCTTGGAACAGCTTGCCTTCAGACGTTGTGGGTGCTTCATCACTCGAGGTGTTTAAGAAGAGACTGGGCAGCCACTTGTCTGAAATGATATAGGGACTCCTGCTTGAGCAGGGGGCTGGACTAGAAGACCTCTAAGGTACCTTCCAGGTCTATTCTGATTCTAAGATTCTAAATGTGTGTCTTACTAGTACCAATGGGTGTTTCCATCCTATTCTTCAAAAACATACCAGTACAATATAAAAGTACCATCAGAGAATAAAAAAAAATTCTTAAATGAAGCCTCCTTCAAGTCAGGCTTGATTCCCGATTATGCCCTGGCTAGTGTCCACAGAATTTTCTCAACCACTGTTTGGAAGAGGTTGATCATCTTTTTCTTTCAGAATGTTCTTCTGACTTCTCAGCCTAACCTCCAGTCCTTAGACTCCCAAGAGACCTTTCATCCAAACTAGATTCTGACCCTACTTAACTTAAGATTGGCAAAACTAAATTATATATTCTACCTTACTGATTATTCAGAAATGTAGACAGTCATTTGTGAAGTAAAGACTTGACTGCTCCCTTAAAGCAACCAGACATTTATGGATTTGGGCCATGCATTATGAATGAACGAGGGACCATAAAAATGAATCAGG